TAACCATCTCTTCAGTCATATTCACAGTATCTGGCCAACTCTTGTATCATATTCACAGTCTCTGACCATCTCTTGTATCACGCCCATAGTCCCTGAGCATCTCTTGTATCATATTCACAGTCTCTAACCACCTCTTGTGGCATATATCTGCTGTCTCTGACCATCTCTTGTAGCATGCCCATAGTCTCTCTTGCAGCATGTCCACAATCTCTGACTATTTCTTATATCATGTCCACAGTCTATGACCATCTCTTGTAGCATACCAGCAGTCTTTGACTGTCTTTTGTATATTGAATATTAATTTCATTGTATGTGTGGCCCTTTGGTGATGCTGGGGGTTGTGCTTGAGATTCCCAGTATCAAGAAAGTTGACCACCACTGCAATAATATATAAAAATATCTAATAAGCTTTAAAGTTTAAAGTTGTTTCCTGTAGTGGCTTAGAGATAGACAGAGAGAACTAAAGACAGGACAAGGGACCAGGAGATCAACACTACCAGAAGTGTTGTTCCTTTAGAAGACTTAATTTGGGTTTTGTCTTAATCAGAATGGCGTTCATTTACTAACAATGGTAAGTATATGCGGGTAAAACATTATGGTCGGTTTTATCTTTTAGGTATGGCCACTTTAAAATGTTAATTTAATTTCAAATTTGGTTTTCAATCTTTAAAACTTTGCAAGTGTTACCTGATGATCCTACCATGAAGGTCTTGGTCAGGTACTTTCTGCTATGGGGTGGCAACTGTCTCCCAATTGTGCTTGTGTTGTCAATGTGTCACATGCTCCCTTTGTGGAGAATACAAGTGGCCGTGTCTGCACACATTACAAGGGCATAACATTATCATTATCAGGAAGCTGGCCTAAAGCAATAATGTACAGCAAAATGAAGTGAGAGGCTGTAAACAGGAAGTGGCTGAAAAGAGCTGAGGAAGATTAGCAGCAGTGAGGTGCAAAAGAATGAATGAAAATGGTGAAAACAGTATTTATTTTTAAAAAATGTCAACTGTCAATGATAAATAATGCTTAAGCAAACACAATTGAATCACTAAATGCTGGAGTGTGAGGGGAAGAAGCAGCACAATGAACCAATGAGTTAATGTGCTGGCATATAGCATGCTGATTGGAAGAGAAAGCAGAGTGACAGAGAGATGAGCACTGTGCTGCTCTTCATTTCACTGTCCAGTCACAATCTGGATCCAGGACAACCTGGGCTCAGAAAAAAGTCTTGTGCACCCTGGGTGTTTAGCCCCTGTGCATTGGATTCTGTGGGCAGAAGGAACAGATGCACCATGCAGCCCCCCTGCTGGCAGGTTTTAAGACTCTATGACAGACTGAAAGCTGCTGTGTCTGGACAGTGCACTGAGTGGTACTAACTAAACATATATGCCCAGGGACCAGAGCACAAGAAGTTACAAAAACATTCCCCGATAAACTACATGTTAAAATTCTTACTCAAGCACTTGCAGTTTACATCTTTTAATGCTGCTGGCTCCTGTTCTCTAAGTGCTGCCTCCCTGAACTTCTGGTATGTACAGGAAAGAGTTAACAGTGGACAGCATTGTCTCCAGTCAGTTCTATAGCTTGGAGAAGGAAGGGAGGAGGAACAGGGAGTACCTTACCATCCTAGACTACAGACGTAGGGAGATACATCTCTGGTCCCTGAATACAAGGATGGCTCCATGGGATGCTGCAAGAGAAAGGAGCCACCCTGGCACAGGAAACCTTTAATATTTATCTTATTTTTGGTGAGAGTTCTGCTTACAGCTTTTCAAGAATCTATTAAGAACTTGACACTCTGGGATTACATGCGATCTTTGACAGATTAAATTCAGTTAAGGCTCCAAGTTTATCTACTTAATCCCTTATCAAACCACAAAATCTGTGTAATTCATAATTGTAAGGTTGTGAAGAGGTAAGGTGACAACCCTACAGTCACAGATAATTACAAACTACAGCACATTGTAAGGCAATACATGTTTTACCTGAGCCCCCCTTGTCACCTTCCCGGCGGTGGGAGGCATGAATAGACTGGACGTCTTCGAGTCGGATTAATACATTTCTTTTTTAGATTTGCAGAAACAGGCAGGGCTGTTTTTAGACTAGGAGTGCATGGAACTGTAATATACTGTTTTTAATATCTTGCTCCCTTTAATTTTAACAACGAAAACTAATCAGAACCGGTCTCAATTGCACTGAGAGGGTTCAGTCAGCAGTTCTCAGAAATGTTAAAAGTCTCTAGAACAAACAGCTTCATGTCTCCTCTACACAGGTGAGTCATAGCCGTGTCCATCTTGTAGACTGACTCACCTGTGAAAAGAACTCCCCAGGCTCTCCTGCTGTCTGCCTGAGAGATAGCCTCTGATCTACCCGAAGATACACTAATGGACAGCTAGAAAAAAAAATGCAGTATGGTATATTTAATGCAGAAATCTAAGAAATTAAAAAAAATATCCAGTTATGTAGAAAAAAATGCCTAGCTAGTATAAATGCCTATTTATTTTTCTACTCTGGTTTAAATATTGTATTGTCCACTTTTTTCCCCATTCCCTTTAGTTTTGTGTTTGTTTTACGCCTTGTGTGGTGGTTTGCCTTTGTGGTGTCAAATTATAAACATCGATTAAACAAAAAAATAAATGCCTGAATTTATTTTTATATCTGCTTCTGGTAATTCCTAGCACATCAAGACTTAAAGAAAAAGTTCACATTTTCACAAAAAAATAAAAAGGTTGATTAAAGTGGTTGTAATCAAGTAAAAATCAAAAATGAACAAAGCATATTCTTCTATGGTGTGCCTCAATTCAAAGCAGTGTTTCTGTCTGCTCTGTCATCTGCGGTCACTTCTGACAGTCTGTTGACACCAGGGGCGGACTGACAACTCATGGGGCCCCCAGGCAATAGGGGATCATGGGGCCCTGTGTCCTTGCCTAAACTCAAAAAAAGCCTATGAAAAAGGTACCAGGGGCATCTCATGGGGCCCCCTACTGACCCTGGGCCCTCGGGCAGTGCCCCAGTTTTCAAATGGTCAGTCCGCCCCTGGTTGACACCAAGCAATCCCAGGAGACGGCCAGGCCATAGCCTCAGCTATGCTTGTATCCTTATGAGACTGAGTACAGGGGGTTGGGGTGTTGATTCCCTCCCCTCAGGTCTCATATAACGCTTAGCTCGCTGCTTTAGGGCACATGTACACGAGTAGCAGCTAAGCTCGAGTTTAGGAGCTTTTGGCATTTTTTTTGCCAAAGCTCCTGAACTCAACTCCATAAAAGCTTATGTGTCCATGTACACACAGGCTTTTAGCAGAGTTTAGCAGCTTCCATGTTTAGGTGAGGCTAAACATCCCTCTCCTGAACGCAGAAGAATTGCATTCAGGATAGGAATGTTTTGACTGCCGGCTGCGGTAAAACGTGGCAAAACCGCAGCAAAACATAGTAGTCTCGTGTGCATGGAGCCTTATGTGGTGCAGTGTGTGACATCAGGTCCCTGCCTACTGCTTACTGAAGCTCAGAAATGCTGTGCATTAGGAGGCTTCAGAGGAGAGAGGGCTGCAGGTAAATAGGTACAACCTATGTAGGAGGATTTGTTTCATCTTGGGTTGCCACCTCATCCCTTTAAACCTGAACACATATTATTTACACAGGTTCTGAGGCTAATTTATTGCAGATAAGGTACTAAGTGAGTTTAATTACCACCTAATCAGCCACAGAACCTGTGTAATTAATATGTGTTCAGTTTTAAAAGGATGAGGTGGCAACCCTAATTATGGCCGTTATGTGCAATGAGGTCCGGAGAGGTGCCCAGGATATATGGAGTTAAAGTGGTTGTAAACCCTTAGGGCAGCCTCACACTGATGCAGGACTTTTTATGCACTTTTAGAAAACGCACCAAAACCACAGGACATAATGTAAGTCTATGGCAAAGCACAGCTAAAAGTAAAAAATATAAGCCGTACCCAGGGGCGGACTGACCATTTAGAAACTCGGGCACTGTCCAGGGGCCCGGGGTCAGTAGGGGGCCCCATGAGATGCCCCTGGTACCTTTTCCATAGGCTTTTTTGAGTTTGGGCAAGGACACAGGGGACCAGGGGTGGACTGACAACTCATGGGGCCCCCAAGCAATAGGGGATCATGGGGCCCCTGTGTGCTTGCCCAAACTCAAAAAAACCTATGAAAAAGGTACCAGGGGCATCTCATGGGGCCCCCCTACTGGCCCTCGGGCAGTGCCCAAGCTTCAAAATGGTCAGTCCACCCCTGCAGGGGCCCCATTATCCCCTATTGCCCGGGGGCCCCATGAGTTGTCAGTCCGCCCCTGGCCGTACCCCAAAGCTTAGCTCTTATTTCTGTATGTACATTGTCAAAAAAAGAGACTGCATACATTGATATCTCTGACCTAAACCAATCCTAAATTTGCTGTCTTGCTCACAAGAACATGGGATCTTCCCCTATCTGTGAGTAAGCCAGCAGTGGTGAAACGTGTCAAGGAGGTTGATAAATATAATACAGAAAGAAGAGCTAAGCTTTGGAGTGAGGCCTATTTACTTTTGACAGAGAGTGGAGACAGACTATGGTAGCCAGCACCCTGGTTGTCCATGTGGGATGGAAGGAGCAAGTCTGGAGTGGAACCATGGGTTTGGGTATGTTCTTGTCATAAGTGCAGCTAACCTGGGTCAAATCTGCAAGTACACTGCGCTGTACCTGCTAAAATGCAGCAAGGGCAGTGTGAAAGCATCCTAACATATACCTAGGGTTGCCACCTCATCCCTTTAAAACCGAACACATATTAATTACACAGGTTCTGAGGCTAATTTTATGCAGATAAGGCACCAAGTGGGTTTAATTACCACCTTAATCAGCCACAGAACTTGTGTAATTAATGTGTTTTCAGTTTCAAAGGGACGAGGTTCCAACCCTACATATATCCAGTGAAGTGACTGTCCTCGGGTGATGCACAGAGATGAAACTAGAGTTGCCACTTCATCCCTTTAAGATGGAACACATATTAATTACACAGGTTCTGTGGCTGATAAGGGTGGTAAGTATACTCACTTAGGCTTGGTTCACATATGTGTGGGTGGTGCCGCTGTGGATCCCATCACCCACACAGAAGAATGCGGACCCGCGGGCGGGTGCCATTACTTCTAATGGCACGCCGCCCGCACTGGAAATTGCAACTGTACTGGGAACCGAGGTTCCTGTGCGGGCTGCGGTTTCCAAAGAAGTGCAGGGACTTCTTCCCTGTGTGTCCTGGGGCACGGGAGTCCATTCAAATGAATAGGCTCTTGTGCCCACAAAAAACGTGGCGCGCACGGCCGCATATATGTGAAACAGGGCTTAGTGCCTCATCTGCATTAAATTAGCCTCAGAACCTGTGTAATTAATATGTGTTCGGGTTTAAAGGGATGAGGTGGCAAGTCAGGAGGTGATTTTAGGTGACTTCAGACTGAAATAAAAAGCTAATTTTTAATCAAATGAAGTTAAAAATTAGCTTGTGTAGCAATGCGATATTTTATCACTTTTTTTTTACAGTATCAGCTTAGCGGAGAATCAGGTGATGCAGAAGTCTAAGTATTTTTGCTTCAGCACAAAGTCAAATTAATCCAATTATCTGCGACTCAGACTCTCCTGCAGACTACCAGCATGCTTCCTTCCCTCCCCAATGCCTACTTCACTGTCAATCAGCTTCCTCTTCACTTCCTAACTGCAGGAGGCATGCAGATACTGCGTCACCCACTGACTAATCACTCCGCTCTCAAGCTACAGCCTGCAGAGAAAGACTGGCTTGCATCAATGTTTAACTATATTAACAAATATACAATTTACAGAAACTAAAAATCCACAACAGAAGAGGAATAAAGGCGGTACTAGATATTTTTAACAGAAGGTATTGTGTATTATACACCATTGGATGTGCCTATCAGCAATCAGTAAAAGTAACCTGCCATGAAATCACTAGTAGCTTGGGTGTCACGCTGCTGCTTTGCTTTCACTAACCGGAACAAGCATGGGGATAAGGAACAGTGTCTTATCAATGACTTTCCTCTGCTGAATGCTTGCTCTGGGACTGGGAATCCAGGCAGTAGGGATTTTCAGAATATGACCTCTTGCAAATGGGAGTAAAAAAACGCCATGTTTTTTACTGATCTGGATGTTGATGTATACACAGCTGTGTAAAGAGGAGTTAAGGAGAGATGAGTACAGAACCGTAAAACAAAAATAAAAATATTATATTTGATTGCAGTCATTTATGCACTTATGCACTTTTACACATATTTTGCAATACTGGCAAAGAGTAGGAATTCTACGTATACGCAGATGAGCCTTTGCGCTCCTTAACCGCACTTACGCAAGGCCTTTAGACAACATTTTACTCAGGATCTTTTTGTCAACAAGATCCTGAGTATAAACATGAGTCAATTCTTATGTCGGTGTGCAAATGGCCTAAGGGTTATGTCACACTAGCAAATTTGAAACAGATATTAGTAGCAGATACAAACTTCTCTGATTACTTTAATCCCTTCCCAAGTCTAAACGGCACAATGGAAGTGGGCTTTACTCCATGCTGTCAAATATTTTGTCACTTTCCTGCGGTGATTGCAGTTGGACACATTCTGAGTTCACGAAAGATAGATGATCTATGAATGAAGGTTGGGCAGGTGGATTAATGAAAGTAAGAATTCAATGAATGGATGAAGGGGCGGAAAGGGAAGGACATCCTGATGAGTGCATATGACAGGCTCTATTAAACCTTACTGCACCAGAATATTATGGCAGCGGAGGTAGGGAGATCAGAGGGCAATCATCAGCACAAGGGGCATACAGAATTGGCTATAAGTATTGTCCCTTGTGCTAAATTTTTAAAACCTTTTTTATCTAAATTTAAACTTTAAAGCTGAATTCCAGACAAACAGTTTAATCCACAGTTGAAAAAACACATACAGGTGATGATTTACTAGGATTTGAATTTCTGCCCAGTCAGTTCTGAGAATTACATGGCCCTGCCAGACATAATAGACAAGTTAGTCAATTCCCTGCCTCTAAACTGTGAGTGGACAGTGAAGTACCAGTAGCAGAATGATGGGCTAATCATTCTGCATCACCTACACTCTCCTTCTGCTAGCATGTTCCTTGTCAGCACATGAGCACTGCTGAATACCTAATTGGCTCCCAGAATTGTTCTCCTTCTGTCAGTCTGTGATCAACTGTATAGGGGTTTACAAGAGGCTACTACAAAATCAAATTTTAGTACTTCTAGTAACTGTATTTAAAACACATATCGGCAATCATTTGTGATTTTTTTTTTATATCTTCCTGGATTTCGACTTTAAACCCAACACAGATTGTCTTTTCCTAAGTCAATGTCTTTCATGGTCTAGGTCTAAACAAAAGAGTACATTTCTGTAACCTGTCAGAATCACAGAGGAAGGTGTCATTATTATGGCTCCTCAACCAATATCTGAAGTGTAGACTAGATTACAGTTATTAGAAACTCACTTGATTGTTCTCACTTACAGAAGACAAATATGAATGGCGTTCTCAAGTACCTAATGCATTGGCGGACTAAAGCTAGATATGCTCTTCCCTGTTCAGTCTGATATCTGCTACCGGTGACACTTCAATATACATCTTGCGTACTATTTGTAGCACCCCCCTCCCGACCCCCAAAGGCATGGTGGTACTGTCAGAGACATGGGGGGCTGATATTTACCTCAGTGGTAGATCATTTAGGCATAGTGGGAGGGAAAGACATATGGGCACCAATCACTTTTAAATAAAACCTAAATTGATTTTGTTGCTCACAGTCCATGGGAGAGAAGGTTAGGTTTTGCAGATGCATTGGATCAAAGCAGAACACCTTCACTTCACTTGTTAGATCACAGGAAAAGAGACTTTAAGTCGAGACTGACACTTCTGTGTTGGAACATCAGAAGTAACAACAGCATCCGTTTTTTACAGGAGAGTCAACCAACTTCCATGGGACTCCATCCTGTTCCTAATCTTCTGCAAGAGAGTCAACCAACCTCCAACCAACCTCCATGGGACTCCATCATGCCTCCAGGGAAGATCAGCAGCATTGCCATTGGCTAACTGCAGCCATGCAGAACTAAATTTAGAGACGCTACACCTACTAGAATGCAAGAAAATCCATTAACATTTTTATTGGGAAAAACACCTATCTTGGGGATTCAACAGCAACAAGTATGCCGAAATTGGAAGGCTAAAATTCAGTAATGATGGAGTGATATCTATGAAACATATTCAAAAACCCTTGCGTTGAATGTGTGCTTAAATTAATGATCTCAATAATTAACAAATATTTAACTAATAATGGCCACTGCTGCCACTTTAAATAAATAGATTATACATAAATAAACATAAATAATCCAGTGGCACTATTAAGTGAAACCAGCTATTAAGTAAAACACATATTCAGTGATAGAATGTAATATAAAATGATATAAAATAAAGTGAAAATAAAACAATCATGTGATATAAAGCGATCAATTAGTTTGAAAACAAAGTCCATCATAACATGTAGATATCACTTTCAGTGTTGTAATCTTCTAACATTCCAAAACCAAAATCACCATGTGCTTGTGAAACTGCCTTTTCGTTTGGGTATGCACTCACCAGACCAGGGGCGGACTGACAACTCATGGGGCCCCCGGGCAATAGGGGATCATGGGGCCCCTGTGTCCTTGCCCAAACTCAAAAAAGCCTATGAAAAAGGTACCAGGGGCATCTCATGGGGCCCCCTACTTACCCAGGCCCTCGGCAGTGCCCGAGTTTCCAAATGGTCAGTCTGCCCCTGCACCAGACCAACATGCCTGCCACTCTCATGGTCGGCATGTATCGCTTGTGAAATCTCCAATTGTGGTATCACCATGTGAACTTCATAATCTCCATAAATCTCCTTACTGTTCTCCACCAGATATCATGGTCATGTAAAACTATGAGATAAACTCCAATGGTACAGTAACCAATATCCTCTAGTTTATTAAATAAGTAAAAAGTCACTCACAAAATAAACTAGTAAAAACGCTTGTTATAATCCAATATAGTAAGATGTGCGTGTCATGCTCTCACCACCGCTGGATCCCACAAAATGGAGCTCCCACGTCACTTCCCATTCCGGTTCACAATGTCACTGTCGGTCACCGTACAGCCTCACTTCTGACTTAGTCATAGGGATGCTATGAGATGCTAAAAGAGTTAGTTTTTCTTTCCAAAGTTAAAAACATAAAATCAACAGTTGTTATAATATATATTATAACAAATGTTGATTTTATTCAAGTTTTTTTCTTTGGAAAAAAAACTCTTTTTAAAAGAAAATAAATAATAAAGAATAATCAAAGTTTTATCTAGGCGTTTTTTGGTTGCCTTTAAAATTCCATAAGCGAAGCCTGTACAAAACTGATATACTGAATTAGGAATGGTGGCTACCACACCCTCTGTCACATGGAGGACTGCTATAAACTGCTGACAAGAAAAGGTATTTAGCAGTTTATATTTACTAAAATAATTGCATTTACATATTCTGTGTACTGTGGGAGACCAGATATAGTGAATGTAGGGTCATGGCTTTAGTAATACTGTCATTTTCATTTCTTTCAAATAGAGATCTTCGTACAGGATAGTATGTGGAAGATGTCTTTGAGAACTGTTGGTTTGTTGTCTTCAACTACCTGGTAGATGTAAGGTGTATCAAAAGAACAGGGCTTACAAAAGGGGACTGGAGCAGTTAGAAGAGATACAGTACAGAAGTGTAATGAGCAGAATGCTGTCCAGTAGAGGCTTTATTGCCATTGCTAATGATAACTGTATTTGTGTCACTTGCTAAAGCAACCAACCAGCCAGGAAACAGGTGACATGACAGGGGTGATGGATATTCTGGCAGTGAAGGTGTGTCATGTTTGTCCCCTTCACTAATGATCAGTTCTCCACATACTGAGACCGACCTTGTGGCAAAGAGTACCTAAGGACCTAGCCTGGGAGTCACCAGATTTATGTTGTGAGGCCTTGGGAGAAGAACAAGCATAAAATTATGGAGAAGCAAGTTTCCTGGGTCCAAAAGTAACATACGGGACATTGTCACTGGGAGTGAGGTGACGGGACTGCTGAGTGAGTTCGGTGCAGGCTCCGCGTTGCAAGCTCAGATATGCTGCACACCTGGGGAGTGGTGTTCTCCAACAGAACGTATGTCAGAAATGCTTAGTGTTAACAGTGTAAAGAAGTTTGGCCATGGATTACAAAGCATTACTTGTGGAAATGCTCTGCTTGTTTCTATGTCTGGAGTATTGCCTTTATGTTGATTTCACGTTAAAAACACCT